AGAGAGAGAGAGAGAGAGAGAGAGAGAGAGAGAGAGAGAGAGAGAGAGAGCGGAGGGGGAGCGAAAGTGCCCCTTGCGAAACCCTTGTCCGTTTCATGCGCTTTTGGTTGCTTGGCTTCTTCGTGTTGACGCTCGGGCTAAGGTGCTCTCGACGCCATGCTAAGCAATCCCAGTATCTAACTATCGCGTTGTTGTTCTCACATCTTATTGGGTGTTCTTATTTGCTCTTGACCTTGGCGTTCGGACCCTCTTTGGGTGTCTAGTTAGCCTCTGACCACGTAGGGCGTCCGCGGTCAGTTTTGACCGGTACGGACGTTAGAAAGAAGGCACCGAGCAGAAAACGGAACGCTGTTGAACGTGAAGACTAGAACAACGAAGTAGCGACAAGCTGTCTGTTTCATCGGCAAGTGCCTCGTTGAGTGATGAAGGTAGACATTCCGGCACGGTCTAGCAGCCTCCGAGTGTTCTGTGCTTCCTCCCTCGTCCACTCTTGTCTTCTCCACTCACGTCGACCCGTCTGGCAAAATTGGTGTCATGCATTGTCCCCTCCAAGTCGCTTATTGTCCACTCCACGTCCGTCCCTTGCAATTCTCGACCTTCGAAGCTCATCAAGAGGGGGTGGGTTTCGCAACCGGCGTTTGCGTCGCCATGTGAGCTATTTCACCGCTCGCTCGGGTTGCATGGGCTTGGGAGTTATTCATCGGTTGGGGAAGTCGCGATTGATTGTGTATGTGATTGGCCGTCGCAGTGCTCTATACTACGAAGTAGCCCGCATTACACATGTTTAGGAGTCCATGCTGTGATGTCCACGTGAGTTTCAAGGTAGTCGGTTTTCCGGCTTGGTGGCTTGTGACGATGCGATGGTTTTGCGAGGCCTTGCTACACTATCTACCGCCGTCGGTGCGTTCGGCGTGTAACCGTTATAGAGGTGATCAGCATTGATCAAGGTCGTCGGCTTGCCTTGGAAGCAATGGTTTCCATGTTGTTGCCTTGAGTATATAGTTCTTCCGTACACCAAACCACATATGTAGGTTTACAACATCCGCGCCAACCCTACCTTTCTCAGGGCGATACCGTGTATCTAAAGCGACCTGCGATGATGATTCCCCTCTTGGAGTCACGACAATCCATTGCTCTTGGCACTTTTTGAAGCACGATGGCTATACGACCGATTCTGCGAAGTGGTGCCGCGTTTGTGTTTTTTTTGTTTCCCTTGGGGGTTACGTGCCATCGCGGGGG